GGGGGGGGGGGGGGGGGGGGAGGGGGGCGTCCGGTTTGCGCCCTGGCTTTCTGAAAATCGATCGTTTCTCCTCTTATTGCTCCGTACAGTACATACTACTATATGGTGTTGTTCAGTTGACATTAGTGTTAGTATTTGATGTCGTTGTTCAGGTCGACGCGAGCGCTGCGGTGCCTCGTGTCGACAGTTTCAGGATCGGGCACCTGGTGGGGAGAGCGGAGCTTAGTTGGTCGCGTTTCGAGCGGAGATGGACGATCGTGTCCCTATCATGCCGACAGCTATGGAAATGTTTCTGTTGTTGGCAAGAAATCGCCAGTGGAGGAGGGGCACAGGACACCGAACGCCTCGGCGGCCGCTATGTATTTACTCCTATTGTCTTGTTGTTGTGCACCATGTTGCACGTCTCCAATCGAAAGTTACCGGCAGTGAAGTGTACGTAGCCGCAAGTCGGCACTTGTTCTGCAAGCGTGTATTTTCGTTCTTTCTGGGTCGTTTTTTCTTCGATGTGTTAACCGTCAATATTGGTCTTATTCTCATGTCAGGTTTTCGTCATGTGTTAGCTAGTCTATCCCCAGGGGGGGCAGCAGCCTTAGCCTCCCTACTTTTCATCGACCCTTTGTTTCGTGGTTTTTGTGTTGTGCTTTTTTCGTGGAACTGCTGTATCGGCAGGGGGAGCTCTTGCCGGTATGCCTCCTGTCGAGCATAGTCCGCACGGCGGAGAGGGACGAAGAGGCCGACGGCCCACCCGAAGGTGTCGCGAACAACAACAACAACAACAACAACAACAACAACCGCTCCTGCGAAGACGGCGGCGCCATGTTTCCCCTGGACGTCGACGACGACGAAGACAATGCCGATGAGGACGCCTGCATGGCGGATGAGTTTGATCCTGCGGGACCCCCGGAAGGGGACACAGATGACGATAGCGACGACGATGACGACGATAGCGACGAGGACGACGAGGACGATGAGGAGAGCGATACCGAAGACATCACGGACGAAGGGTCGATGACCCTAAGCAGCTGTAGCGGTGGCGGGGACGGCGGCGGCGGCGGCGGCGGCGTGCCGTCGCCATACTACGCCTCGGACGTCAGCCAGCGGTTCACCGCCGCCGTGGACCGGCGAACGGCGACGGCGGTACCACCGTTGTCGTCGTCGGCGCCAGCGGCTACGGCGCAAGTGGCGGCGGCGACGGCGCCGATGGGCATGTCGGTGGACAGCAGTCGCTGGGCCGGAGCAACGTCGACGACGGCAACAACAACAGCCGCAGGATCATCAGCAACGACCTTTTCCGCCGCCGGCTTGCCCTGTTTTTCAGGCGGGAGCGTGAACCTCACCCGCTGCAGCAGCAGCAACAGCTTGCCGGCAGCGGCCGCCGCCGCCCCCGCTTGGCGTGGCCGCAGCGCCAGCGGCGACGGCATCACCTGCCGGGTGTCGAGCGCGCCGCTTGCCTCTGAGGGTGGCGACGGCGGGGGAGGGGGGCACCAGCTGCTCTCGTCTTCCTGCCCCCGCGACTCGAGCTGGTTGATGACAGCCGGCGGAGGGAACAACCACGGCGGCGCCGGCAGCAGCCACCCCTCCCTCTCCACCATCCACGACCACCGGAGGAGCCAGCGGCCGTCCGCGGCGGAGCGACAAGCGCAGGCCGCCGCCGCCGCCGCCGCGGCCGCGGTCCCGAGCGGCGGCACGTGGGAACACGTGGCCAGGAGCTGGGGCGAGAACGGGGTCGGGCGCGGTCTGGTAGATTTCTTGAGGTCGACCACCGGAACGAGGTCGGAGGCGTTGCTGTGCGGGTGGGCGGGGATGCTGCCCGCGGCGGAGCAGGCGACGTTGACGGCTCTCCTTGACAAGACTTCGTGAGACTCCGGGGGAGCCTTCTTTCCTTTCGACGGTCCCGGCTCTGCTTGGTCCAATACGCAAGACTTGTTGGGGATTTTTGTTGTTTTGTTTTCTTCTTCGGCCTTTAGACGTGGTCGTGTGGAATGCACCTCGCTCCACTCCTGCTGCCCAGATTTATCAGACGGGGTCCTTCCTAGCCGCTTGCTCACGCCCTCATGACCGATTACCCCGGGGTGAGCGAACAAGGGTAGGGTTAGATGGCGCTGAGGTTCGGCGTGTTGGCACGGTCAGATGTCGGCTGTTCTCGGCAAGAGTTGGACGGTTGCTGCTAAATCTGCGATTTTTATACTAATTATTTCGTCATGCCGTGTGTGTATAATTGGGAGCTTCGATTGACGTGGCTGCGTGGGTTCGCTTGTTATTCAAGCATGCGTGTGTGGTGTTTGGCGGCCTGCGCTGTGGCGGCTGGTTGGCTTTCACCAGAGGGCACGAGGGACGGGGAGCAGCCAACCTTGTGTATTTTAAACTCAGGGGGTTGTCGGCAGTGGCGGTGGTGGTCTTTGAGAGACCCGATGTATATTTCCTTTTTTGTTGGCGCCTGCTGCTGCTGCTGCTGTGCCTCGTACCGAGCACGATCTTTTTTTTTTTACATATATCTGGTGTTTGCATTCATTGTAGATGCATTTTTTTTTGTTTTGGCGCCTGCTGCAGCTGTATGTCGTTCGAAGGGCTGTTTTTTTCAGACATCAGGTGTAGGTTTATGCGATGTAGATTTTGTTTTGTTTTGGCGCCTGTCATGCCCCGGGAATGGAAGCGAGTGACGTTTTTGTGGTTGATGTCCCTCACGAATGAATCGAGGATCGGTGTTCCGGCGGGTAGCTTTGGTGGAAGGTTCAACTAACTAGCGTTCCGTGCGGGGTTAGGCGGGGCGAAATGCGTATCCCATCCTGGGAGAAGCTGCGTGGGCGAGGGCAACGTTGTTGTATGCGCCCCCCCCCCGCCGCCGCCTTCCTTCCCGCGGTGACCCTTTTGCCACCAGCAGACCAGACCAGACCAGACTTCGGGAATACGGGCGAGTGCACGTGAAAAGTTTACCCTTTTCTATCTTTGAGCGCAGCTCGCGGCAATCGCTACCAGAACAAGAGCAAACGGAAAGTTCCGGGGACGTTGATTGGTTGGGCGAAGCGGGGCGGCTGCGGCCGAAAGTGCTGTTATATCTATTTTTTTATTTTTTTGCCGCGTCAGTTTCGTCTGTTCTCCATGTTACCCGCAGCAGGTTGGAAGACCGGTTGGCAGTATTGGGCGTGGTGTACCGTGCACGCCGGAGGCTGCCGTCGCAGCTTGCCCGGTGGTAAAATATCTGTTTGCGTTGTGGCAAGTGTGCGCAAGCCTAGGACTGGCCCTATCCCTGACCCCTGGTAGATTCTTCGTAACGCTGCTGGAGACGGAAGAGGCTTGGGGACTGAATTGATGTCGTTTCGGGCTTGCGCCCTTTCCTCCAAGAGTTTATCGGTTAATTGTATCGCAACAGCAGCAGCGGCAGCCGTAAGCAGCGTTTGGAAACCCACAATAAAACAGGTAGCGCATGGTCGACCCATCCTTGGGGTGTCTCCCACGACCGCTTGTTTGGGTTGTGTGTGTCCGTGAGGACTGGTGTTGTCTAGAGACGGGGCGGGCGAGAGAGGGGCGGTGGTTCAGTGGGAACAATTTCTTGCTCTCATTTGTAGACTTGGTTGGATTGCAGAGTACTCCCCATGTATGATGTATATTTTTGTCCCTTTTTGCCATCATCGTGTTGTTCCTGTCCTACAGCAGTATTATTACTGTTGGCGGTCATGTATTGTTCTTCGTCCGTGTAGAATGAACGCGCGGGGTACGACGACGGACCGGGGTGCGGCGGGTCATCGCGAATGGATAGAGGCGCCGTTGGTGCCCTTGGGGGCGCCTACTACTTGCCGCGTGTCGTGGCGTACCCCCCGTTGGGCAAGCTGCTGACTATTGGCTCGACCACGCAGGCCAGGTAGTCTAGAGTCTAGAGAAGGAAGGGGGTAGGGGGGGCGTGGGACAATCCACACCCTTACAGGTGTAAAACCAGACCTCCGGCAACATGCAACGTAGCGCCGGAGAGTTTCGTTTACCTACATTTTGCGAGTGAAATTGTTTAGACTATCTAAATCTAAAAGAGACGAGGGACATTAACACATGACGCTGCGTTGCCGTTGTGTCTATAATATCTGTTAAAGTCGTGTCGAAAACTCTTTTATTCCGTTTTTGGGGGTTTTGAGCGTGTTCAGTTGGCACGCTCTGGTGCAGTTGCTACTCGGTCGTGTACGTGGGTTGGAGGTTGCGGGGTGACTATTCAGACGATATCTGGCAAATGGTTTCCGTTCGCATCTGTCTGTCTCCCGCCCGAACGAGATGTGTTGCCCGATGCATTGCATGCGTGTGTGGATGTACCAGCTTCTGTTGGTCTTGTCAGAAAATTGAGGAAACGGACGAGACAGAGAGAAAGAGAAATAAATTTCCGACCGGTGGAGAGTGAAGGCAACACACCAGTTATGTCGGAGGGCACCCTCCATGCTCGTCCGCTGCTCCCCTGGTGTGCGGAGTTCTGTCTTTTTAACTTTGTTATCTAGTGGTCCGATGTGTTATCGATGGATGTGTCCGTTGCTACGGGAGAGACGGAGGAGGAGGTAGTTTGTAGACAGGCCGGTGTGTCGCCCCGCTCAACAGGGAGAGAGAGGTGAATCTGTTTTCCGAAAGCGTGGCCAATACGGGCGCGGACCGCACGGCGGACGGGCCTGGAGTATTTGTAAAATGACGACTAGCTACAGTATTAATATCGTTTTTTTTGTGCCCCCCACAAGAGCTGCGGTGTGCTTGATCAAGATTTGTGTGTTGTGTAGGATCGACAAGAAGAATGCAGGATATGGATATATCTGGCGGAATGTGAAGTGAAGAGGCACAGGCGTAACATGCGGGCAATTACAAACTAACCTTTTGTTTGTGGCTTGTCTTCAGTTAGTTGCTATATGTTCGTTCCCCTTCGGCAGCGTGGACTTGAGCTACATCCACAACGAACGGGTCCGGTGGGTGGATTTATCCATATGCGACCGCTTGACTGAACATGGGGGGGCGGTCCGTGGGAATAAGACCCTACCGGGCCGTGCAGGCAGCCGGCGCAGACGGACGCATCAACCCGCCGCCGCTTGCTGGACATGATGGAAAAAAAATCAAGATACATTGATAGGCCTACTAATCGAAAATCGGGGTCCGTGGGGGGGGGGGGTGTGTACTCATAGTCGTGCATGCCGTAGTCGTTTGACCATTGACCTCGCATCCCTACAAAGCCGGGACGGAGCACGCCGGGTTCTCACCGGACCAGGCTCTCACATCGCCAAGCGCGAAGCGCCGTGAGGTATTCGGCGAGTCGCATGAAGGGTGCGCTGCATCCTGCTAAGGGTGGTCGGCATCTTGTGCTTACTTCCTTGCTTACGGATGACAGCTGCGTATGACTTAATTTATTTTCTGGTGCTTTCACTTCCAGAGACAGTTGTAAGCACTGTGTAACTGCCTCGAGGGTGCTTGACCATTTTAACACAACGTGGTGCGATTATCCCCTTTGCGCGGAGTGAGGCTTCTCGACCCCGCACAACATGGTCTACTCGACCACCATTCATGGTTACCGCAAAAAAACAAAACAAAGGCAAAAAAAAAAAAGCGGTAACCTGGTTGCCGAGCTCACGAAGTGATCGGCTTGTTTTACAACATCGCTGCCAAAAGCGAAGAAAACCCAACCCCGATGGCAAACACCAGGGGGCGGGGTCAGAGGGGGGGGGGACCCTAATTTCTACTTCTATATATATTCTGGGTAAGGGGCACCGTGGATAGAAAACCTCTGCAATAAGGGGGTCAATGACTTATGTTCGTGACCAAAGCCCCCTGTACTAATGATTCCAATATTTGACAGAAATCGAAATTGCCCTCCCGTGGATATTTGACAGAAATCGAAGTTGCCCTCCCGTGGATATTTGACAGAAATCGAAGTTGCCCTCCCGTGGGGGGGGGGCTATGTGTCCGGGATTTTTTTTCACATACATACGTACACCCTTGGTAACCAAAGAGGGACTACTACATACTGTACCTATTCCATACAGTCTACTTGTTGGTCGCTGGGGACTTCATCTTGCGTTTCAACACTTCTTTATCAGCGCGAAGTTAAGTGCGTCGCCGGAGTTGGTTGTCTCTTCACAAGCGGCAAGCGCACAGAGAGTAGTTGTTGGCGGTGGATCAGAGAGCCCGGCAAAGCAGGTAGGTTACAAAGAACCCGACGGGTGGCATTGAAGACATGCATGATGCGGTTGACCTGCTAACGAGTGCAAGATTAATATGCCACATGTCGCCAAGCAAACAAACCACAGATTTTTCTTTCGATACATCGAAATGCATGACGATAGAAAACGAACAACAGGATCGAAAGAAAACAAAACAAGTGAATGCTGCCTGCTCTGTACCACTCTAAACATGGACGTTACATTGGCGCGGGATTCGGCGGAAATGGCCAGAAGCGGGGACGACCTCTCAGAGCATGAAGCCATGCTTCGCGCGGAGCGCGGACTGCTTCTAGACGAGTTTCTCCACGACTCTCGGCTGCTCGAGGTGCTGGAAGCGCAAAATGTGGGTGGTTGGCCACGCCAGATTTGAAGAAGCTCGTGCGACCCGATGTTTCGCAAAAGTCGGTAGCCTTTGCCGGTATCTTGTACTACCCGTGCCGGATAAAAGCATGCAACCGGCCAAGTTGGGTTAGGGACAGGGTCTGCGTACCCCCTCCCTGTTCTATTTATCTAATAGAAAATATCCTCACGAACTTTATACGCGAAGGCGGGCAGCAGAAGTGCCGGGTACAATAATACCTACCTCTGAGAGAGCATCGCGAAAATTCGGTAAGTACTTTATTCGACAGAGGGGAACAACAGCGACGAACCTCGACCTCCAACATCGAAAGTCTTGCTTTCCACGAAGCGCTTCGCCGCATCGTTGTCAGTTAACAATTTGTTGTTGTTCCTCTCCATGCCTTGTCAACGCTGTGTACCGAACAGGCACACAAATCTCCAATTTCTACACACCGCGTCATCCTTCCCTCAACGTTGATAATATCATTGCGCCACGAAATGCCTTGATTCTGGCAGACTCCATGCCTCCTGCCTATCTATTCCAAACCACCCGCGACGGATCCCACTACCTCCGAACACACGGAACCGGCGGACGCGGTATCATCCCGGCCCATGCCCCCCGCGAAACCTCGCACATCTTTACGAGACCCTCAACACGCACCGCCTGCGCACAGCACGCACTCCATTTCTCAACCACTCGCCGACAAAAGAGGCACTGCCCGTATCACGACGTTGATCTGGGTGGTGACTACACACATATGCATAGGTGTTTCTAGAAGTAGAGACGGGCCATAAATGAACACTGCTGTAGAACCTCGGGGTGGCGGGGGAACAACAGAGCACTCGCGGTGTGTAGCGGACGCTAGGCACAACCCTTCCTTCTCCCAAAAACGAAGACATACAGGGGGAGAACAACGTTTGAAAATGCAAAGACGGGCCGTCCCGAACCCCGACCCTGAATTAGAACTTGTTTAGCTTTGACTTTCAAACGCTGATGATGCCAGGAAACAGCACCCCCAGCAAATTCAGTTTGCACCAACGGCGCCGTGTTCTGTGATTATTGTGGGTGGCATAAGCGTGCTGTCTGCGTGACCCCCCAACGGCTGACGCGCCCCAGAAAACATACCAAGAGGTGGGCTAGTTAAGACTGACGCCCAGACTTAGTGGGACGATACACAAAGACAGAGATGTCACGATTGCCTGTGTAACCGTTGCCAGAAGGACAGCCAGTCAGTCTTCGTTCCTCCCTCCGAAACGGCTTCTCTCCTGAGCTCCTTCCTTCCGGCTATGCATACGACTGGTACTACGAAGAACTTGTCTCCTTCTTCTTGCTGCTGCCCTTGCTCTTCTTCTTCTTCTTCTTCTTCGCCGCCATGCCGTCCGGGGCGTCGTACTGGGCCTCGAGCTTCTTGCGCTTGGCCTTGAGCCGCTCCACCTCCTCGCGACGCTTGCTGAGGCCGTGCTGCATGCGCCCGTACAGCCGCTTCGCCTTCTTGGACATCATGTTCTGCAGTCCACGTGCGACGTGCCGCAAGGCGAGGGAGTAAGTTGTGTGTTGAATGAAAGCTATTCGAAATAGATGTTTGGGTTAGTCCCATGGTATTTTCTGGCGCCGATTTGAAGGCCTTTCGGCGTATATACTTGACGTGTGTATCAGCCGGGGTCACACAAGAGGAAGGTCACACGGGGGCTTTTTTCATTTCTAGGCTTCAGAAAATATCACCGACGTTCGTGATTTGTTCGTGGGCGTGAGACACGTTGGGTCCAAGAGCGAAGCCAAAAAGAAGAGGAGGGAAGCGACGCCGCCCAAAAGGGCGAAATCGGCAATCGTTCGTGCGAACTTTCTTTGGGCGAAGGGGTACTACCTTGTGTCCATGACGCCTTCGAAATTCTACTGCTCTCCATGTTTGAGAGCGAATGAAATCATGCAAAAAATCGCATGAAATCATCACGAATGAATCGTGCCGCTTTGAGGCAGAGAACAGGATTGGGGGGGGGGGCGCATACAGAGCGAGGTCGATACCGACAAAACACTCAGGAGACGACGTGTTGATTTGTGCATGCGAGAGAGAGAGACAGAGAGAGACAAGAGAGAGAACACGAAAAAAAACATGCCTACCCTCGACATCTCGTGGTGCTCCTGTTCCTCCGTCTGCTTCTTCTCCTCCGCAGAAGGCGGCGCCACTTCTTCCACCGCGTCCTCCTCCTCCTCCTCCTCGCTGCTGCTGTCGCCACTGTCGTCGTCGTCGCTGCTACTATCCTCCTCCTCCTCCTCTTCTTCTAGCGCTTTCGCCTTCGAGAATGCGGTGCCCGCCCTCTCCCGCTCCAAGTCCTTGGCAAACGCCTCCTCTCCGTCCCCGTCCTCTTCCGCCTCGTCGTCGCTCCTCGAGGACGTCCCCGCTGCCGTTGCCGATGATGAAACATCGGTGGCGACTCCCGGGACCACGTCGAGCACATCGTCCTCCCCCTCCGCGTTCTCGGTACCCTGACAAAAGAGGACACCCAAAAAAAGCAGGGAAGGCGTGTGCTTACGTCTTCGCCTCCGAAACGAGCGCGCGCGTGCGTGTGTTGCGAATAAACAGGCACAAGGATGTTGCCTGCTGACAAAGACATCCATCCGCGGATGGTCCGCTCCGCTCCGCCCTGCCTGCCACGCATAGAGCCAACTCAGCGGCGCCAGCTCAAAAAAATTTCAACCGACACCGATACCGCCAAGGCCAACCTTGCCGCCGCGCCAAAGCACAAAAAACGTAAACCCGTACCGGTCTCCCCTCTTGTACCCCGCCTCGCCCGAACAACACAACAAAACCTAAGCCAGTACCACCAAGGCCACCCTTAAAGCCATGCCAAAGCCCAACAAAACACAATAAACCCAAACCCCCGTGTACCCGCCTCGCCCGTAGAACCCAACCCAACCGAAACCGTTACACACCCCCGAGACCAACCTTGCACCTGCACCGACAACGAAATAAGAAAAAAGCTACCCCCACCTAGAGCCTGGTCCGGCCAGAACCCTGCGTGCTCCGTCCCGGCTTTGCAGGGATGCGAGGTCAGTGATCTAACGACTACCGCATGCACGACTATGAGTACCCCTCCCCCCCCTCTCCTCCCCACCCGGGTACCCGCCTCGCCGGAAAAAAAATAAAAAAATCACCTCCTCCGCGGGTTTGGAGCCCCCACCCCTCTTCCGCCTGGCTTCCGCGGCCGACCTGAGCTTGTCCAGCTCCTCCCGGTACGCCGGCACGTATCCCTCCGAGGCGTCGTCTACGAACGGCGACAGGTGGGGGGGGAGGGCGGCGCCGGGGGCGTAGCGGGCCACCGGCAGGAGCACGCGCGCGTTGAGGGAGTCGAGCACCCACTGGGGCTGGAGGTACTCCCGGCGCTTGCGGCGGGGCTCCGTGAGGACGGGCCGGTCAACGATCTGTTGGGTGTCGGAATCGAGGTCGGGCGCGGGGGGGGGGTTGGGGTGTGTGCACGTGTTAAACGCGTGCCATCAGACCTCCAATCCCTACAATGCCAGGACGTTGCGATAGGCCGGATTTTCACGGACACAGGTCATGTTTCACCACATGCGGGGCCATCATCCTTGCGTATGCTGGTCGTGCGGGGGGCGATCAAAATGTTGCGACTCGAAATACAGGTAAACAAAGAGCTGAACGTTGCCGATCATCACCCGGGACATGAGGGGAAACCAAAACCAATACAATTTGAAAACGAAAAAGTGGCGTATTTCGTCAAAACTTTGGAAAAAAAATGGAAATATTCAGATGCGACAAAGTAGCAGAATACATACATCAGGCGTCTAAAACAAAAAAGAAGACACAGCAGTGCCAAACTACAGCAACACTATCACCAACAACCGTAACATCGACGACAGCCATTCCAACTACCGTAGGCGACACAAGATACCACACCCCCTGGACCGATTTTATCTCGAATACTCCACGACCAAGAGGATATGCTGAAATGAAACGACACTCTCGCTCTCGACGAGACAGCTTCAACGCGCCGTTTTCGGCGCTAGCACTCGTTCTGCTGTGGATAAACCTAGCTGTGAAAACCGGGTGAGGGTGTGTGGTATCTACCGTCATGTCACTTACGGCACAGCAGCACGGAAGCACACCAAAACACAAAATAACGGGATCAAATCACCCAAGAAGGCCAATCGCAACACCACCAGCTCCAAGATTTTCGACCAATCGTCGGCCCGTCACCGCCAAGCCAAGGGGCCGCTGCAGCTTCGTTCGGCACGCACCTGGTGGGTGATGCCCGGATCAGCGGAAGAGAACGGGCTGCCCTCCCCCTCCCACCCCACCCCCCCCCCGCAGGAGGTTACCACCAACTCCAGCCAGCTTTTCGGCACCTGATGAATAAAAAAAAAAAATCATAAAAAATTCCCTGGTCACGGCTGTGCATAGACAAGGCGGTTCGCCCTTGTGTTACGGCAGGAGAAACCGTGTTACTCTGATGGAGAACATGCAGGTAAACCTCAAACTCTGATGAGTGCGGGGGGTTAAGGCCGGCCATCCACCGTGGCCAGCTATGCGGCCGTACACAAGATTGAGATTCGCACATGCATAGCACGGCCAAAGGTCGCGACGTGGTTCCCGCTCCATGACTTGTCCTAACATCTCCTTCTGATCGGTCGTGAGATTGAAAAATTCACTCCCGGTCGTGTCATCCGTACTGTAGCAGGAGCGAAACCACTACAGATTTCGTCAACAACGAGTGACGCCTTCTGTTGATGTGTTACAACAGTACCTACATCGATGGCCATGGTCAGAAGCGAAACCGCCTTGTCTTCAACAACTAAATAGCCATGCCTTTCTGTCGACCTGCCACAGCAGTGCATCGACGGTCGATGTCTTGTTGTCTGGACCGTCTTCGCGAGGAATGAAGTTGACGACGACAAATTCTAGTAGCAGGGAGGGGGTACGCAGACCCTATCCCGAACCCCAACTTCCCTGGTTGCATGCGTTGTCCAACATGTTAACAAAATTGCAAAACACCTGCGGCGAACGCTACTGCGTTGTCTTGACCGCACCTCTCGCCCGAAGAAGAACTTGAGCCCCTTGAACAAGCGCTTGCGCCGTTCCTCCTCCCCGCCCGCGCCGTCATCAGCAAGGATTTCCTGGAGCCAGATCAGAAACAACAGAGAACAACCGAACAGTTCAATTCAACAACCTTGGAGATATCGCACGCTCTCATCCAGATTTGGCCTGCTCCAACGCTGTCCGGCGATTTCTTTCCAAACAACAACATGCATGGTACCACGCTCGCCTGCCTGTCTCACCACCTGGATGCTAGGAGACAAAAAACGCAACCTAGGAGAAAAAACAAAACAAAATCTATTCTTCACAAAATACTCACCTCCCCCTCCTCCGTCCGGGACATGAACGCCTCCTCGAGGGGCACCGTCAACGCGTCCCCCATCTCCGCGTCCTCTTCGTCACCCTCCGCGAGCCCCCCTCCCTCGATCGCCGCCGAGCCGCTTGAGGCGGCGGCTGCCGCAGCTTCCTTGTCTGCACGCGAGATCTGACCAAGCTTGGCCTCTAAGGACTGTTGTCGTTGTCGTCAGCGTCGTTGACAAGAATAAAATCCATCGCGGGGGGGGGGGGGGGGAGGAGGGAAAAAACGAAAAAGGCCCTTTTTTAAGGGGGTGGAAATAAGAAGCTTTC